TTGCCCACCTCTGTAATAGACTATAGCAGCAATTTTTAAGTGGTGCCGCACAAATTTTAAAACTATTTAGTCAGAGGCACTGACCTCTTTCTCTTAGATTGTTAAAAAAAATGACAAAAGCCAATACAACAATAGCTGTCTGATGTGAATTAATCAAAATCATACCTATTTTTTGTCAGATCAGCAAAAAATATATTTTTGGTGTGCTGCTGGATTTTAGTAATTAGTTTGTGTTCCATGAAACAAAAAAGGTTGAAAATTACTCAATTACAGTATAGTGTAAACATAACTTTTATATGTCCTGGCAAGCCAAAAGATTAGTATAGTCATTTATCATGATACTTGCTCTATTGTGTTATCTAGATGAAGATGCAATATCTTTGAGGTATGTCTGTACACTTTCTGCACAGATATCTCTGTCTTAGGATCTCTTTTCCAACAAACCTGACTAAAGGCACTTACTCAGTATATATTCAATAATATGAAGAATATATGTTAAACATATATTTTAAATGAAAAAGGCATTGCTTAAACTATATATCATATGCATATATGTATATAAATAGCACATATATATACATACATATTTGGTGATGCCATTATTTTGACTTGTCTAAAATAAATCTTTTTAGCATAATTATTTTTAAATCTGAAAAAATGACTTAGGATATTTATGAAGCAGAAATTCCTAAACATAGGTGCATTCAACAGATAATTCTGCCAATACAATGTTCAGTAAGTTTGGTTGTCATAAGATCAGATTCTCTCATGGCCAGTGACTCAAATATCATCTAGGTCAGGGAAGAACATGTTTAAGTGGTTATTCAAGTTTTATCTATTTCTAACTGAACATTTTGACACCACCACCTAATAAGAAAAGAGCTAGAGATAAATCAATAAGTGAATGTTGGAAAGGACAATATTAAACTACTAGAGACCTGGTGCATGAAAATTCATGCACTGCGGTGGGGTGGGGGGGTCCCTCAGCCTGGCCTGCCCCCTGTCAGTCTGGGAGCCCTCAGGGGATGTCCTACTGACACCTCTGTGGGAGGCAACTGAGCGGATCAAGGGAAGGTGCTGCCCCTATCACGCTGCTGCCACTGCTGCCGCTGCCGGCCACTGGCTGCCTGCCCTTGGCCCTGGCAGCCGCTGTGGCTTTGTCCAGAAGGATGGCCAGAAAGATGTTCGGCTGACTGGTCTAATTAGCATATTATGCTTTTGTTATTATAGATGTGGAACCCAAGGAGACCCACTATTTTTATACTGTTTACTATCCAATATCATTATATGTTTTTAAACTTTCTGGCTTCAGAATTCATTTTTACAACATAACACATTTCATATTTTCTAAAAATGAGACTGTAACAGTAAAAAATCATTTGTACAAGGAAAAAAATAAAACCTCTCAATTGATCACAACGTAAGTTGTATACCCTATTCATCAAGTCACTAAGGCTGACTTCAGCTCATCAGTCTCCTGTAGGATTTGATGAAGTTTAAAGGCCTGTACATATTTCAGGATAATAATGCTGGATAGAATCCATACATACTCTGACTCACTTAAACCAAAAGCATATAACCCTGCACAGTTAATAGAGTGAATTTAAACAGAAAGTTCCTTAAAAATTTACTGAAAAGCAGCAGTTGTTCTGGAAAGTTAAACTGCCAAAATTAGAGGCCCTTGGGGTAGTTGTGAAAAGATTCTAATGTTGGGTGGGGAAAAAAAACAACAACAAAACCACCAAACCTCAGAATATTGCAAAACAAGAAATCAAAGTAGGACTGTCAAGCAATTCACATTTGAACCCTCCCCCCCTTTTTTAACTGGGAAAATTTGGGATTCTGTATTTACCAGTAATTTTGATACCTTAGGGCAATTATTACTTTACTACTTTTGCTGGCTTACAATTATTTTAATATATCAAAAAGAATAGCGTTAACTGGTTTGGCTCAGTGGATAGAACATTGGCCTGTGGACTCAAGGGTCCCAGGTTCGATTCCAGTCAAGAACATGTACCTTGGTTGCAGGCACATCCCCAGTAGGGAGTGTGCAGGAGGCAGCTGATCGATGTTTCTCTCTCATCAATGTTTCTAGCTCTTTATCCCTCTCTCTTCCTTTCTGTAAAAAATCAATAAAATATATATTTTTTTAAAAAAGGACTATTTTCTAGAGAAAAATGTCTTTTAAATATTCAGATAGCATATGCTCACAAACCTCACCATTATGTTTATATATATATATACTAGAGGCCCAGTGCACAAAAATTTGTGCACTTGGTGGGGGGGGGGGGGCCTTAGCCTGGCCTGTGGCCTCTCGCAGTCTGGGATACCTCAGGGGATGGCCACCTACTGGCTTAGGCCCTTGGCCCAGGGGATTGGGCCTAAGATGGCAATCAGACATCTCTCTGGCAGCCCGGCAGCCCTCGGGGGATGTCCACTTGCCAGCAGGGAGCAGGCCTAAACTGCAGTCGGACATCTTTAGCGCTGCTGAGGAGGCAGGAGAGGCTCCCACCACCACCGCTGTACTGGCAGCCATCAGCCTGGCTTGTGGCTGAGCAGAGCTCCTCCCATGTGAGAGCATCCTGACCACCAGAGGGCAGCTCCTGCATTGAGCGTCTGCCTCCTGGTGATCAGTGTGTGTCATAGTGACAAGTCATTCCCAGTCCTTCTGCTGTTAGGGTCAGTTTGCATATTACCCTTTTACTATATAGGATAGAGGCCTGGTGCACGGGTGGGGGCTGGCTTGTTTGCCCTGAAGGGTGTCCCGGATCAGGGTGGGGGTCCCGCTTGGGTGCCTGTCCAGCCTGGGTGAGGGGCTGATAGCTGTTTGCAGCTGGTCACACCCCCTTCAGTGTGGGGGTCCCCACTGGGGTGCCTGGCCAGTCTGGATGAGGGGCTGAGGGCCCTTTTCAGGCTGGCGGGCAACTGAAGCTCCCAACTTCTCCTTTTTTTCTTTTTTTTTTAATTCTGGGATTTATTTACTTTCTATGGCTGTCACTGGAACTTGGAGCCAGCTTTAGCTCTGAGGCTCGGCTCCAGCTCTGAGACCTCGGCTGCTGAAAGCAGGTATCTGGGTTTGTTTGGCTTCTATAATTAAAACACTGTTGCAGCTCCAGCTCTGAGGCCCGGCTGGCTGAAAGCAGGTTTCTGGGGTTTGTTTAGCTTCTATAATTGCAGCATTGTTTCTTAGAGTGCAGCTCAGAGGCCGGCAGCAGCAGGCAAGGAACCTTGGCTTCCTCCATCACCGGGGCAACCAAGCCTCCTGTTCGCTTCAGCTGCCTGGCTGCTGGCCGCCATCTTGGTTGGCAGTTAATTTGCATATTTCCCTCATTAGCCAATGGGAAGCATGTTGGAGGTATGGCTAATTACCATGTTTGTCTATCATTAGATAGGATGGTTGCTCCTTTTCAGATTTCATATAAAAATATGTGTTATGTAGAAACATTTGATAGCCGGAACAAATGGGAAAGTGACATCTTTACCTATTTAAAATAAAGGTATGAAAACAACATAGAATTAATGGGAATCTAAATAATAATAACAATAATAATAGCTAACTTTTATTGAGCATTTATCATGTGCCAAAGCATTATAGACTATCTCATTTACTCCTCCCACAGCCCTATTAATATGTACCATGATCAATTCCAGTTAATTGATAAGGAAATTTAAGACTACAAAAGTTACCTTTTAGAGTTATAAAGCTAAAGGACTAAAGCTCAGTGAAATTAATCTTTAAATATAACTAATGTTTTGCATCACTCTTAATAAGTATAGACTAAGTTTATATTAGCATATGGAACCTATGGTTCTTGTTTTATGTTTCCCCATTTTTTGATATATAATGGACATATAACATTATATTAATTTCAGATATATAGCATAATGATTCAATATTTGTATGTATTGTGAAATGATACCACAATAAGTCTAGTTAACATCCATTACCACATACAGTTACAATTTTATTTTTCTTGTGTTGAGAATTTTTAAGATTTACTCTCTTAGCAACTTTTAAATATGCAATACAGTTGTTTTAAAGCACATACACTTCTTAATTTCTTTTTCTCTTAAGAAAAGAACCTGGCCTATAGTATATCAGGGTGTGGCAGACAATTGCCCATTAGCCAAATCGGGCCAGGGCACTTGCAATTGCAAATAAATGTTATTGGTACTCAGCAATAGTCATCTCTTATTCATTTTACTTGTTGTCTTTGGCTGCTTTCACACTACATTGATAAAGCTGAGTTGAGACAGACTATATGACCCACCAAGACCAAGATATTTACATATTGTTTTGTGTGTTCCTTTTCTTCAGAAAATGTTTGCTAAGTCCTGTGGTATACATCCTTATTTGGGATGCATGTAAAATGTCAAACATTTGGTTCCTATATTCAGAAAAAGTATTAATACCTTTTAATAGTACATTCTGTTAACACATTTCGTATCAACAAATATGATCTGGGATATAAAATATGAAATGAAGGAAAAACTTTAACTCAGTACAAGATCACGTTTTCTTACTATAATTATTATAATTATTTATAAACACAATTTTTTTATCATTTTTAATATATCAGTTATATATAATTGGAAGAAGTATGTCAAGGGGAAGTGTCAGTTGTGCTGCTTGATATTTATTTCTCTGTCACTATGGTTCATTGTGTTAGCCAGGCTCTTGAAATTGAGTATTTTGAATTCTGATGTTTTACTTGGAGCTCTGTTTTATGCAGCTGTTGGCAAAGTGTTGTAAATGTGCTAGGCCATTTGTACTATCTCAACAAATAGAGATCTTAAAAAATAGCTATTACTTGTTTTTACTGTTCATCATTGGAAATTTCTCTGTAAATGAGTTTAGTAACTCAATGAAAAAAATGAATCTAGTGAGAAATAATAAAGTCAATTAAGAAATGCCTCTTTGGTTAGTTTTGACATGTACAATAATACTTCAAAAGCCATGTAACTCAACATTGTCATTTCTTGTTTTTATTTTCTTCTAGATTTGGATGATCCTATAGTAACTGTTCATCAAAGTATAGGTGAAGCTAAAGAACAGTTTTACTATGAGAGAACAGTATTCCTCAGGTGTGTTGCCAACTCCAACCCCCCTGTTCGGTACAGCTGGAGGCGTGGCCAAGAGGTGTTACTACAAGGATCTGATAAAGGAGTGGAGATTTATGAACCCTTCTTTACCCAGGTAGGAATTAAGGTATAGTATATCCACCCCACTCTGTTAGGATACTATCCTAATTCAAGCAGCATGAAATATATCTATTAAAAAAAGATAGTTTCTTCAAACCTGGCCTTTAAAAACATATAATCTTGATTGAATGATCAGAAGACTCAAATAATGAAGGAAAATTGGTTTAACTTTTACATGGCAATTCATTAAGTCTTACGTTAACTCTTGAAACAAATTAAATTAATTATTCTAATTACATATCTTTGTTCATAAGTTCACCTAGGTTTCATTATCCTATCTAATAAAGAGGGAATATGCTAATTGACTTCCCTGTCCTCAAAGATGGCAGCGCCCACAGCCAATAAGGAGGGGATATGCTAATTGACTGCCACACCCTCAAATATGGCGGTATCCACAGCCAATAAGGAGGGAATGTGCTAATTGCTGCCCCGCCCTAAAAGATGGTGGCACTCGCAGCCAATAAGGAGAGTATATGCTAATTGACTGCCCTGCCCTCAAGATGACAGTGACCACAGCCACAAGATGGTGGCCCCCAGTCCCTTCAGCCCCACCAGGGAAGCTCTGTGCACCTGCATCTGGAGTCCCCCAGTCCCCTCAGCCCCTCAACCACCCAGGGCCAGCCTGAGGCACAGGCAAGCCTTGTATGGTGGCTGTCCAGCCTCCCAGGGCCACCCGAGGCTCAGGTAACCAGGGCTGGCCAAGGCTTGCGCTGCTGGCAGTGGCAGCAGCAGAGGTGCGATGGAGTGTCGCCTTCCCCTGATCGCCAGGTCTCCTCCCACCCCTGAGGGCTCCTGGACTGTGAGAGGGGGCAGGCTGGGCTGAGGGACCCCCTTCCAGTGCATGAATTTTCATGCACCGGGCCTCTAGTAAAGTACATAATTATACATTTGCTGAATGCTTTTCTTTGTGGAAAATATTTCTTAAAAGACTTTGATTTCCCCATTTCAATGGTAAATAAGTTTTAAAGAAATGCAGAAATATACTTGACATTTATTTCACTTTGGTTTTAGAAAAAAAATCTGTCGAATTTCATTTGTTCATTTTTGGTTTTCAATTATTTATGAGTAGAGCCTTAATTATGTAAAAAGTAAAACATCTAATGAGTCATTAAAAACTTACTTTAGAAAAAGAAAAATTGAATTAATTTTTATAGAGTGAACTTAATATGAAATATGTTTTTGTAATATACTGAGAGTAGAGAATAATAATTATTAAAGAAGATATTGAAGTTTATAGGAATATATTTGAACGCTGTTTAATCAAAATGTTTTTTTGATGACTACAAAGGAGCACAAAACTATTTAACAGAAAAGATTTTAAATTAAAAAATATATTTGGAAACATGTTCAAAATAATTGTGGCTGAGGATAATAATTATAAAAGTAATAATAAAAATAACAATAATAAACAACCTGATATAGGCAATTAGATAAAAGGTGCTTGACCACATTTTTTAAGCTTTGAGACATTGCAAATCCATAATTAGGGAAATATACAACTAAACTTAAAATATTACAAATATTTCTTCAAAAGTTTAAAGATTATTACACGTTTCACATCTTAACTCTCTAATGACATGAGGTTTCCTCAGTTGGTATATGCACCCCATTTATACCACTAAATATATTTTCATGTATAGCAAACCATTTACTTTAATGTTCAAGAGCTGGTCAGTTTCACATTCATAGAATTTCCAGTATTTATATATTAACTGAAAGGATACAAAACATCTTCCTATATCAAAATATCTGCATAAATCATATTTTTGCAAAAAATAACATACATAAATATCATGAATATATAAGAATACATGTTTCTATATATTGCTACTTACAGGGATAGAACAGCTATTACTTGCCATAATATAAATCTCTGAAAAATCATTGTTCATATGTATTACCAATGACATAGTGTTGAAACCTGTTTTAATCTGACCCTCTCACTTATATATTTTTTTAATTGTTAACACTGTTACAGATGTTTTCCCATCGCCCCTCCCTTTTTGCATCAATCATTCTCTGCCAGCTGATGGGATCACAATTTCCATATATATATATTCTGCACTATGGATATATATTCTTCAATTTTTACTAAAATCAAAATTTTTAGGTAAAAATATTTATTAATTATAAATGCTTAGTATATTAATGCTTAGATGCCACTAGGATTTAGAAATTCAGATAAATGATCATGTCTGATTATACTTTTATCAATTTATTTTTAATATATGGGCATTTTTAAAATTTATGTAATTTAGAATTTAGAATTACCTCAGTGCCTACAAACATTATCAGCCCATCAAAAATTATCACATGAAGTATAATGTGATAATGTTTGTAGGCACTGACGTAATTCTAAACCCCTATTCACTACATGGCTATTTCTTATCTGCAGATGAGTCTGATCACTTGGAAATGAGTACATGGACCTTGTCCAAATTTGGGAAAACTTTATACTTTCAAAATAATTAGGAATTTATTTTAAAGTTATTAAACAAGCACAAAAAACTATTCACTCATTTCTTTGAATTTGTTACTATTAGCAACTCCAAAATACCACCTTATAAGAGCTCTCAAACTAGTAGCAATTGATTCTGCCTTTTAAAATAAGTCATTTCTCTCTTCATTTTTCCCTCTCATTCTTTTGAGAAAGAACATTTTAACTTGACCATTTCAGTACTTATATTTCCTTCTATATGAATACCACAGGCTTTCTCTAACTTTGCATGGGCTGGTACCTTTGTTGTTAGACTGTTTGCATTAATTCTCTTAAAAATATTTCACAACAAACAAGCTTTTCTTCCAGTTCTGTGATTCACCTGTTGCTAATTGCCAACAACACGCATTTATAGCTTTTATTTAAAAATATCTTTCCTGCCTTTGGTTACTTAATTATGTTGCTTATCTCTCTTTCTGAAATGCCTATGTATCTGTGTCTGCTCTAACAATCATTAGGAGCAATACACATGCCAATAATTTTACGTTATATATGTACTTAACTTGTTAATATTAAGCATAGTTTACAGGTCAAACTGATAGAAACATTCAAATATCATCACATGGAGAATTTAGCTCTTATAGCCAAAGAAAACACTGGCTTTTTCATAGATGAGAATTATCAATGATTTTTCTTAACATCACTTAGAAATGGCTGATAAACAAGCCCACCATACCACAGGACGTCACACCTCTCCATGGAATGTGGCTATCCATTCCTAACTGGCTTCATACTTTATTATGGAAAACTCAAACATCTGAGTGATCACTTAAAAATGTAAACCTTTTTTCTGATTTAATATCTCTAGTGATATGAATACTGAAAACTCCTTGTATGATTCATTGTATTGTAGCCTACAAGACCATATTTGGCATTGATCTCCCTCTTTAAAAATATATTTTTATTGATTTCAGAGAGGAAGGGAGAGGGAGAGAGAGAGAGATCTCAATGATGAAAGAGAATTATTGATTGGCTGCTTCCTTCACGCCACACACCAGGGATTGAGCCCACAACTTGGACATGTACCCTGACCCAGAATCAAACCATGACCTCCTGATTCATAGGTCAATGTTCAACCACTGAGCCACACTGGTTGGGATGTCTTGTTCTCTCTTACCTAATCTTTGATATCTCATATACTGTTCTAGTCACACCATACCTAAACATGCTGAGCATCCGCATGCTATTGATTCCTCCATGTAGAATGTAATTACTTAGATGTCATGGCTGGGTCTTCTTAATCCTGAGGACTCATCCCCTCCGCAAGGCCTTCCCTGCCAGGTCTATCTGAAGTGCATCCCTTTCTTTCGATAGTTACTCTTTTGTTGTTGTTTGTTTTTTCTTCTAGCACTGAAACTATCAAATTACCTTGTTAGAATATCACTCACTAATTTTAGAGGCATTGTCTTTTCAACAGCGAAAACATTGCCTTTCACATGGAAGGTCCTCAATAAATATATATTAAATATTGAGCCAATACTCCTATGGAGATGTCTGGATTACTAGCCCAATGATGGTTACAATTGACTCCAAGTTTCTAGTAATTCCTGAATCACTATATAACTCCTCCTCACCCTCTAAAGAAAACTTAATGAATTGTGAATTAGAATGATGTTATAACTGAACTTATTTTAATACATTTAATTTCCAGACTATGATAATTTTCTAGTTATAATTTTTTTCTATTAAAAATGTTTTCTTCTCGACTCTGGAATCTATTTCTTGACTTCAAGTTACCTTTCTCTGAAACCTATCTTTGTGTGTGTTTTTTCTTAAAATTTTTTAACATTGATGTTATTGCAAACTTCCCTCATCTCCTCCTCCCCCTTTGCCTACCTTCATCTACCAGTCTTCCCCTCTTTTGGCCTTCACCACACTATTGTCCAACTTATTTTTAATTAATTTCTAGTTCAATCCCACTGTGTCTAAAAGCATACCCTGAATAATCTTAATCTTTAAAAATTAATAGAGACTTACACTATACTAAACCTATGTTCCACTCTCATAAATGATCCATGTGCACCCATAAGAATGTGCATTCCAAAATTGTTGAATGCCAATTAGGTCATATTTGTTGTGTTATTCAGACCTTCTCTTTGTTTTCTTATTGTTGTGTCTGCTGTTCTAAGCTACTGAGAGAGTGTAGTTACTATCTAAGAATTTATATATTTAAAATTTCTTACTAGTACATACAGATTTAGAATAATTATATCTTCCTGGTGGACTAAGTATATTATCTTCCTCATATTATATCCTGTGGTAGGTTATCATTAAGAAATATCCTTCTTTACCTCTAGGAGTGCTTTTTGCCTTAAAGTTTTTTTTTGTCTGTCATTAATTAGTTACACAAGTTAGTGGTTTTTATGTTTTTTAGAGGCGGGAGTTGGGGAAAGGAATGGTAAATCATCTCTTTTACTTTCAAAAATTTCAATGGCTTTATATTTAAAAACATCACTGGCAACCAGTATATAGCTTTTTGTTGTTTAAACCCAATTGGA